GCCATTTTTCATCTTCTCATTTTGTATCAGAATGATTTGCACCTTAACCTTGTGATCTTCTAAGAAGCCCTGGCTACAAAAACAATGGAAACTCCGTCTACAGTCAATAGTTTGATGGCCATGTTTGGTTCTATCCCCCATTGAGTCTACTGAAAATTATAATGGGACAATAGTGCATTTTTTTCCTGGCTGAGAAGCAAGTCTACTGCTTTTCAAACTTAATAGAACTGATATGTAGTGAAAACTCTCCATCATCCTCATAGCCAAATACATGAACAGAAATGCCGTCCCAGGCATGACCTCTCAATTCTGAAATTTGAGATAGAGGAACAGGCAGGACAAAACCTTCGAAGCTGAGCTGAGACTCATATAGATAATATATTTGCTAACCTTACCAGCATTGGAGGATCAAGGGGTGGGGGTGGAGGTGTGTGTTTCCCAGGGTCCCCAATTTAATAATTTAAGACCACGTTGTTTTCAGGGTGGGGGCCGAACCCCGAACCCTGGGGACCTTCTTCTCCACCCCACCCCCCTCCCCTTTTTGAAAATAACTTAAGACCACGTTGAAGATTTGTTTTGCGTTGGTGTTGCCAAATACCTGGATCCGCCCATGACCAGGATGATTTTTCTATCTTCTGGATGCAAGGCACCCTGCACAGACCAAAGCATTTCTGATATTCATTTTGGAATTTAGTTTTGTCTTCAGATATTTGGGGAGTTTTATGTAGGAATTTGCTTCCAAAGGGACGTATTCAGATGCGTTGACTTCTGTATGAATACTTTGATCTAGCAGCCACCCACTTCCTTCGTCCTGAAACTCCTCAGCAGATGTGTACAAGTTTTGGTAGGCATCTGCCAACAGCTGTTCAGTTTCAGAAATGTTAATTCGTGGTCCTAAAGTTAGTAGTTTTAAGGACTGGCTCAGCTTAAATAGTCTCATTATTGTCATCATGCTTGATGTACTTCCCCAGCTTTAACGCTAGAAACCATTTCATATCTTTTATTTTGGTTAATTGTCAGAAGTGGTCCAGTTCTCCAGTTCGGTGGGTGTCTTCACATTATTCAGAAATTCTTGTGTGTTTCATTCTAAATAAAATAACACGGAAAAAAATATAGACAATATTTAAATGGGGAATATTCACAACAGAATGCTCATCAATAAATACGTCATTGACATTTAAAACATTTAGAAACTATCATATAAAATAAACGAACGTAAAATACTTCATGTTTTACCTCAAACGTAAAATAACGTTATTTTTCCTAATTTAATCTATTTACTTACTTGTAGATATAAATAAATATATGTATACTTAAATTGTGATCAGTTACCTTAATACTAGTAAAATGCAGCGGAAGGTTGAGAGGAGATGGGGAAAAGTAACTCTCTGTTGACACAAAAGTTCTTCTCGGCTGCTGGCGTGAAACAAGAATGATTTGAATCGAACGGGCTTCCTCGTCATTATGTAGGGTTGACAATGGATGCGTTCATTCCAAGCAGACAGTACTGGATGTATGGAGAATGCACTGATGTGAATCGCATTTCAATGAAAAGGGGAGGCAGGTGTGACTGTATTCAACATATAAAGACGAGACTATCATGAAACAGGTGGAGTCACCCTTACATCATAAAGAACTTCTCTGACCAGTCTTGTTCAAACTTTGATCGAACTTGTTCGAACGTGTTTATTCCTACTGAAAGTTATATTGACCATATCTGCACTGTAGTAAAATCCCTCAGGATTGTTTACATAACCGATTGTCTTCAGTATGTTGCTAAGACTCACCTCAGCCCACACCCACCCCTACCACCCCCTCATGTCATGCCTGAGATATCTAGTGTCAATTTATTCCATCTTGCGCTTGCGCAATAAATTCGTTAGTTACCCAAGCACCCGGAAGCGTGTAATTTCACGTCTTTGCACCAACAAACCAAGTAAAAGGTAAGATATGATGCTACGATAGTAAACAATCAGTTAGTGCAACTAACATGTAGTTTCCAGAAAGTCCGGTTAAATTAGTGCTCAAAGATACATAATGTCCTTTTTCTTTCAACGATTTGACAAAATAATATGGCATGATCGCAGGCTCGTCATTTTCGCAGTAGTCCGGAAGCCAGTCAAATTGTATTGTTTTGCAACATCACCACCCACTGATAATTTAACAACCTAACAAATCTCGAGTCCGGTGATTATTCCCTTGTTTACCTGCAGTGTTGCGCATTTCTCTCCTAAACTTTAATAGAATCCGATCACTCGATCATACCGATCTCTCATTCACTATGTGCAAAACGTCAACAGACATGCTAGGCGAATAATGCGATACAATTTTGATAAATCTTCTTGGTATTACAAAGATTCAAATGAATAGTATTATATCAAAATCATTCAGGGCGGAATTTTTAGTGAATGGCAATGTGAGCCCAACTCCGGGTTGTCCCTTGATCAAAGAGCTCTAAATACACTGTATGACGCTTTTCTATCTGTTATTATATTGCCTGGGACAGACTAAAATCCTCAACAGGCCAACACGTCTGGAAATAACAGTCCTTACAGTTCTTGATTTTACGGTTTCTGCTGCCAATCACTGTAGACCATTAATTTTGACAATCATCTTGAATCACAGAGTTGTTAGTGTTTGTTTCCAGCCGGGTGTTTTGTTTGAAAGTGAAAATCGTACACATGCAAACTGCACGTCGGCGCCAATCATCTTTCAAGACTGATTACTGTACAAACAAACTATGGTCAGAGGGAACATTCATTATTATCTCTGATAAGATAATAGACTCCGATCTGTCACCTTTTTCAATCGTAAAATAAAATGAACTTGCCCTACCCTTTTAAGAGAGCATATGGCCAGCAGCATATTTATGAGGAGCTACAACGAAAACACATATCTACCTTATCATCCAGCACATACCGTCATACCACAAGCATTATTACAGTACTATCCAGCACAGAAAATTCACTCTTTGGCATTCTAAATTTTACAGGGTATTATAGATTAGATTGATGAATCACAATGGATATGTTTTACGGATGTTTAGCAAATGCCTAGAATTTGATATTCTTGTTTTAGTGGTGGTATGTTCCCAAAAGTGCTTGAAAGATGATAATTATCCTTATGTTTTCCTCTACAAAAGGTTGTTTTGTGTTCACAGTCCTAGTAGAAAACAAAAACTACTGCATTATTGATGGGCTGAACATAAGGCAGAATAATAGGATTCAGGGACTATGAGACAGACTCGCTCCATTGTCAAGGTGCAGGGCGACTGATGCTAAGTGTTGTATCTGATAATGTTTTACCCTTTAGGTATTCTGGTGTTAGAATAGGTCTCCAGAAATCCGAGCTATTTGTAGAAGTAAGAGGGACTTCTTGGATCAGCTGGTCAGGCACGCTGACATGGTTCACTGTGGTATCGTACCCCGACAGTGTGGATCAGCTGGTCAGGCACATTTACATGGTCCACCGTGGTATCACACCCGGGCAGTGTGGATCAGCTGGTCAGACATGGTTTCACTTACGGTTTACTGTGGTATCGCACCCAGCTGGTCAGGGCAACAGTGTGGATCAGCTGGTCAGACATTGTTCACTGTGGTATCACACCCCGACAGTGTGGGTCAGCTGGTCAGACATGGTTCACTGTGGTATCACACCCCGATAGTGTGGATCATTGCTCACAATATCAATCACGGGTTTGTCTGATCAGCGAGACGTTCTGGGGATACACCCGGCTTACTGGCCACAAAACAAAGCATCAGCATTACTCGGAACACTAAAGATATTGGGTTTTACTAGTTCATCACTAGCAGGAATTATAACATGAAGGTTATCATTCACTTTTTAAGAAGGAATGACAATAAAACAAATACTTGTTGTTTTCCAGTAAAAGTAATCTGCTAACGAGTCAGGATGTCGTCCACATCTCAAAAACACCGGAACTTCGTGTCAGAGCCAATGGGACTAAAGCGTGTGACTGAACTACCTGGAATAGGACCTGTTCTTGGCGGAAGACTCAGTGGGGCAGGGTTTGATAAGGTGAGATTACGCTATGTCTTACATTTCAGTAGACTGAAGAATGAGATTAAAAATATGTCTGTATCTGTAGAGATAAATACTCAAAGGCAAGAGTTACCGTGACACACAAACTAAAGACATTATCAGCATTAAACTTTTACTGCCGCAAATGAAATATCTTATGACATAAAAGACAAATGTGTCAAGTTATGGTAACATTCACCAGTTCGTTAGGACAGTGTACCTGGCACATGCAAATAAGCCACAACACAAAAGGGGGTTTCACAAGCAAGGTCACGTGGTCAGTAATGAGTGTGTCCACCTTGATGCAGGCCTGGCTTCACAGAGACCACTTGATGTCCCTGAAATATATGAGCTCCTGCAGCATTGTTGGAGGATTCCGATAAAGTCACAAATGTCGCTCCATTCCATGCCAGATGTGTCCATTGGGTGACAAATGAGGTGATCTTATCAGCCAGGGTAACACATTACTATTAACAATTTGGTGCACTTCGAACAACAGCTTGATTGGTTTCTTTGACCTCTTAACACTCTCTTTCTCTGGTTCAAATACAAAATTTCGTGTACAAGAGTATCAAAAAAGCCCATGTCACAATTGCATACATTTACGATGGCTACCTACGTAGACCTACAGGTACAGTTAATACAGTTAATTCTAGGTATGAACTAGGTTCAAATTTCTGTCTGTTTAGTATCTAGGTAGTCGAAGTCATCTTGATCATGTTCAACATTTCTGTTGCAGTGAATTAGGTAGTATCAATGACGTTTGACAAGTATAAGTGAGGATAGTGAAAGGTTATATGTTTATTCATGAGGGTCTGCAAGCTAAACTGCAGCATGCTCTCTCTCAGTTGGTAGAACTAAAACAACTGGCTTAGTGTTGATAATCTGTTACTTGAAAGCAACATTACACTCCTTTTCACCTCTCACCTCCAACAATTCATTGTTTATTGTTTTTTTAGGCGTACGTTGTTCTTGGCCAGTTTCTGGTGTTGAAGAAAGATGAGGAGCATTTCGTAGACTGGCTGAAGGAGACATGTAAAGCTAATTCCAAGTAAGCTGGGGACTGCTATACATGTCTGAAGACCTGGTGTGATTCTTTCTTGTGAGGTGCCTGCCCTGTCACATCATGCTTCTGTCCACATGTACTCGTGCATACTCTTACTTTGGGCTTCCTTGGTCCAAGCTGCACAACTCAATCCTCTTTGTTAGAATGTTTTTTGCGTGGTGACATGGGCTACAGCTGACATCCTATACCGGCAACCTGACACAGTTAAACAGTTTTACAAAGCAATAAACTCTATGGACCTTAGAGCTCAAGAACATATATAATTCAGGCTTGTGATGTGATTCGTTTGTCCTGGACAACATTTGCAGGAATGGGTTATTTTAAGTTGTCAATATGTTTGTTATGGATAACATTCATTTTCAATGTACGGGGTGTTGAATGATCTCAGACTTGAAGTTGATGAGGGGAATCTAGCATTACTCGTCTTGCTGGACCTTAGCGCAGCGTTCGACACGATAGACCATAGCGTAATGATTTCCCGCAGTTACGTGGACTTTAGAATCCAGTGAGTGGCACTGAGTTGGTTTAGGTCCTACCTCAATGATAGGTATCAGTCAGTGCTTGTGGATGGCTGTCTATCAGAACCCGTCCCACTTACATGTGGCGTGCCACAAGGGCCTTGGGCCGATCCTTTGTACGCTGTATACAAGACAGCTTGGTAATCTAATTGACAGACACCGGATGGGACGTCACCACTATGCCGACGACTCACAACCATTTCACCCTAAACCGTCAGAGGCTGCTGAAGCTCTGGAACTAACATCTTTCTGTTCCCAGGACATTAAGTCCTGGATGTTGAGAAACAAACTCAAATTCAACGATGACGAAACGGAGGTGCCTCATAGTTGGACCCAAGCTGAAGCGGTCCAAAGTTGATATCACTTCCGTACCTATTGGGAGTTGTCTCATCATGGTAGCAGAGGTAGTTAAAGATCTACGTGTCCATCTTGATTCTGAGTTATCCTTGGAGAACCACGTCAACAACTTAAACAGGAACTGCTTCATCCAGCTTAGAAACATTGGAAATATATAAGATAGTATCTCAAAAAACAGTCGGCAATCATCCTTGTTCTGTCAATAGTCATTTCCAAGATAGACTACTGCAACAGCCTACTTTGGGGGCTCCTCAGACAACAATCAATAAGCTCCAGAAAGTAAAAAATACTGCCGCAAGAATTGTGACTCTTACGCGAAAATATGACTATATAACTCCTATTTTCCAAAGTCTTCATTGGCTTCCAGTGAAAGAAGGTATTTCCTACAAAGCCCTGTGCCTTGCGTATAAATGCATTGCTAGTGACGCACCTGATTACCTGTGTGAGCTACTTGCAGACCACTGAGAACTCTCAGATCTCAAGCACAACATCCCCTCGGTGTCCTGAAAACTAAGACTGCAAGCTATGGGCATCGCTCTTTCTCTTCCTTTGGCAGCCATAGAATGGAATCAACTTCCTATTGAAATAAGACTTGCTCCAACATTCAAATCGTTCAAAACATTTCTGAAGATCCATCTGTTTAAAAGAGTTTTCCTTCACTAGACTTTAACTGTGCGCTTCGAGCATGCATTAAGTGTGGAGTATTAGCACTATATAAATGCACCATTGTTATTACAGCCTTTGTAGCCGTCTTGTTTGTTATGCTTTGCTTGGTTTAAAAACACCATCAGGCAGACATTCGTCACTTTAAAACAGCCTTGGACCCGGAGCTATATGAAATAGTAGGTTATAGAATTTATGGTATTCAAGGGACGATTACACATTTCACCTGTAACCTTTTATGGAAGAACCCCAATTTCTTAACATTTTACGTAAAAATAATCTACCTTTTCCCCTCAGAATATCATCCTGCACAGGTAACAAATGCTTGTTTGTCTGTCACAGTTTTAAAATTTGTACATGACCCGACTGAGCAGTGATTATTCAAAACTCAAGAAACTAGAGAAAAAACTTTCCAAGGGAAAATGTTGTCTAGGAGTGTCAGCTGGAGTGTCAGCTGAAGTGCAATAATTGTTTGTTTGTAAAGCATACTGATCTGACATCTCACAACTAGTCAATGTGAGTTTTTCATTTTACGTATTGGCAATGTTCAATAAATTCTTATTATGACATCGGTGTTGTTTTGTATTTTGATTACATGGAGAGAGAGGCTTGCACTCTAATGTGGTTTTTGTGGTTGTATAACATCAGCATCTCAAGTGAATGTTCTGATAAGCTGATTCACTTATTGGCCTCTGGAAGATTCAGGTGAGGGTCTCTGAAGATCCAGGTTAGGGTCTCAGAAGATCCAGGTTAGAAGGTTTCAAGTTTCAAGATTTGCAGGTTAGGGTCTTTAGAAGATCCAGAAGATTAGGGGTCTTCAGAAGATCTTCAGACGATCCAGGTTAGGGTCTTCAGAAGATCCAGGTTAGGGTCTACAGAAGATTCAGGTTAGGGTCTTCAGAAGATCATGCTTGCCATGAGGCAAATAATGGGATCCTGTGGTCAGGTTCACTGACTTGGTTTATCCATGCCATTAATTCCTCTTGCACAGATCAATGGCCAGGAGTAAGCCTCTGGTCAAGTGTTGATTACTTCATTCATTCTCCACTAACAGGCGCCAATACCATAATTTTATGTCGCTCTATGATTTCACCATTGATATAGCCATATAAACCGCCAGTTATAGTCGATTAGAAAAATAATGGCAATGTTTCCGCAATTTTGTATTTTACAGTTGTCTAAAGTAAACCGAGATATAACAAATCACGCTGTCGTTATAATTTTATGTCGCTCTATGATTTCACCATTGAAATAGCCATATAAACCGCCAGTTATAGTCGATTAGAAAAATAATGGCAATGTTTCCGCAATTTTGTATTTTACAGTTGTCACAAAGTAAAACCGAATATAACAAATTGCTGTCGCCAGCTCTTTATAAAATATAAAAGTCTTAAATTGACGTTTTTCTTCCAAAGAATTTCTATCAATGTTGCTGTCGTCACACATGTGAACAGATACATTACTGCCACTACAAATACTGTGTGTTCTCAGCTGTAACTGATTCTTGTTAATGAAAAACTATTTTTCAGTGACGCTGAAAGCCTGCAGAGCGGCATAACATAAATGTTGTGTAATAAATACAATTTTCATGTTTTAGTTGGATTTCATGACAGGTATGCGAGATTTTAAACACTTTAACTTTTGTGCAATATCAGAAAATTTGTGACAGTAAAGGTGAAACCTGTTCAATTAATGTAAAGTATTTTGATACTCAATCTTAAAATGAATTCAATTTAAATTGCAAGAAAAATGTAATTATATAAAAACTTGACCCCAAACTGGCAACTGGTTCTAGAGGTAACGTATCTGTCACGTTACTAAACCGTTGGATCTCTTTTTGAGTGTCTGTATCAAGATATCTCGGACTGCTGAAGGGGAGCCATTTTAACGTCATATCTAGGCACTATCTACGCTTTATTTAAGACAAGGCGTGAAGAAAAAAAATACAGTTCATTTTGAAAGTTAACAAAAGTGGATTGGCGCCTGTTAGTGGAGAATGAATGATTTACAGGACTGCGATCACAAACCTGTAATATGGATGGAATGATTTTTATTCAAAAGCATGAACAATGTGAATGACATCCCCTAAAATTTACGTACAAAGTAAGTGCCCACCCCTTGCATATCGTATGTACAAAAATCAATTACCACCCCCCCCCCTTCCCATATTGTTTTAAGCATAATGTTGTACTATTTTATGTACAAAATTGCTGACCCCCTCCTCCCAAGAGACACACACACACACACACACACACACACACACACACACACACACACACACACACACACACACACACACACACACACACACACACACACACACACACACACACACACACACACACACACACACACACACTTTCTTAAAATCGTCATCAGTCCCCATCCATAAATTATGAACGGTCCCTAAGCAAATAATATTTATGCCTCCAGCCGTTCACCTGATGGTTAATAACTATCGACATGTCTATGTTAAGGAATCATCCTGTCAGGAAGTGAGACTATGGAGACTATAGTCCGTTTGGCTGGAAAGCAGACCGATGAACTGCAAACTAACTCGAAAAGTAATTAATTTTGTACTGTAACTTCACCAAACCACGTGAAGCACCAAACAATATCCTTCATCTCGGATGTAGTTGGGACTGACGTCTTGAAGCTGCAAAACGAAACTTTCGAGAGTTCACAGATCATAGGAAGACAGGAAGACAAGTGCACGGTGTGACATAACAGTGAGCTATTCACCTGGTCGAGTACCGATCCGTCGTATTTCTGTTTTCAGAGTAGTGAAATGCATTCCACGGATCGGCACTGTGATCTTAGCTATCAATTAGTTATCAAAACATTGGATCATACCAAAAAAGATACAAGGGCGTTGGATGGTTTGACTCTCTTTGATTCGGCCCACGTCTGCAGCAAATGATAGTGAGTAGTCAATATGAATTGATAAATGTCCAATTCCTCACAGTTGACGAAAAGCCTAAATATAATCAGGGGATACTGTACAACACTCTTATATAGTCTCCCCTGATATAATCCAGTTTTTTTAAGATTTTATTCACACAAATTAATTCTTCTGGATTTGCCTGCCATCATATTCGCTGGTTCCCAATTCAACTGTAAATATATCTCTGTGCTGTGCTGTACTGGGCGAGTATTTGCAAAATATACACCTCTGCGATGAAAAGTTTATTTAAAATCAGACTTAATATTTCTACGAAAATATTACCAAGGCCATATATCCTGTCTTTTTAAGGATCAGCTAAACTTTTAAAAGAATTATCTAAGTACATCTTGGGAAAAATTGTAACTGTTTTCAAACATTTTTCGGTATATATTTTGATCAGTCTGTCGAGGATTGCCGACGTATTAGTTTACGATGGGGAGTGGTGACCTCCCAAATAGTTAGACGCGTTAAAACAACAAAGGTTATGGTTGGTTGCGCTGAGGTTCACTACACTGTTTCCTTCGTTAATTAATGGACTACGCCAAATATACTAATCCAAACACAAAAGAAAGCTAGATTATGGATAATGACAATGACTTTATTTGACATGAGACAAAACAATTTGATTGTATTTTTTGTTAATATGTTACTTTACGACCAACCTGTTTTAAAACATAATTATAAAGTGAATAATGATGGACATAATAAAAGGTTAAAACATGAGATAAAGTTAAAAGAACATATGTACATATTTATAACAATTATTAAATTGGTAAAAATGGAATTATTGCATTATTGTTTTTGTTTCTTGATCGTTTGATATAATTTTGTATGAATAAGATATTTAGTGATTGTTTTAATTAATTTGGGGTTTGTTGGAATGTTGAGATCAGAAGAGTTAGCATTATTGAGGTACTGTTTTAAAGCATTTGTCAATGGGGTTCTTTGTTTATTATATTTTGAGCAGTTAAAGATAGTGTGGGCTATTGTTTCAGGAATTTGGCAAGTGATACATTTGCCGTTTGGATGAAGGTTGATTTTGTGAAGATAGTGTTGAATTTGGTAGAGTGAATACTGTTTTCCTGTTATTTGCCAGTTATAATTGAATGTTAACCCTACACCCTGTAATTCTTTCTATATTTTATATTGTTTATGCTGGAAAAACAATGCTAGGAAGGAAGTTACTCCTTTAGGTTAATGGAAACTCAACAACATAAAACAAATGTATAATCATGTTTTGATCAAAGTGAACGTTGTGAAAACAAGTATGCAAAATCTATAATGCGGTTATGAAAAAAATGAACATTGTGAAAACACATTTGGAGAACCCAGTCAACATTAATATTCTGATCAAGGTATTTCTGTACAAACGTGAAAAACATCTCGTTAGTGTATGGGGCAGGTTCATTATATGAGTGGGTAAGACTAGGTTGTAATCAGAGTCACGCCTGATTGATTTGTCTGACTTTTGGGACGTCTAACTTTGGGATCTAACAGACTCGCTGACTTGGTTGACACTTGTCATTGTATCCCAGTTGCGTAGAACAATGCTCATGGTGTTGATCACAGGATTGTCTGGTCCAGGCACGTTTATTTACTGACCGCCATATAGCTGGAGTATTGCTGATTTCGGCGTTAAACATAAAACAACAACAAAATATTAAAAACATCAGAATCTGAGATTTAAACAAGATCCTGTACATCGCGATCTGGCAGACCGCTAGCCAGACCACCTTTGAGCGCCAAGCTTAAAGTTCTTTGGGATTCGTTTTTGACATGTTGAAAGGATTCAGGATGTTTGGGCTTGGATTTCACCATTCATCTCCCCTCATATTCATATTCAAGGTAAACAACAGACAGAAAACCCCAATTGAATATGAATTCCGTACAAATATAGTTTCGGTGAGTCGTCTCACTGTGGATACATTATTTTTGTCAAAGCAAAGCATTCAAGAGGCAAATATAGAAATCAAAAGCTATACTCGACAAAGCACATGAAAACTCTGACAATACGAGATCGGTGAGAAGCGAACAAGGGACACAACTCACAGGGTCAAACTCTCAGTTATAAAACGGTGTGTCAACCTCTAGTTATAACTGGGTGTGTCAACATCCCAATTGTAGCACGGTGTGTCAACATCCCAGTTAAATGGTTTCTCAACATCCCAGTTATAACACGGTGTGTCAACATCCCGGAGTTATAACACGGTGTGCAAACATCCCAGTTATAACACGGTGTGTCAACATCCCAGTTAGAACTCGGTGTGTCAACCTCTCAGTTGTAACACGGTGTGTCAACCTCTCAGTTATATCACACTGTGTCAACCTCCCTGTTATATCACGATGTGTCAACCTCCATGTTATAAGACGGTTTGTTAACATCCCAGTTATAACACGATGTTTCACCCTCCCAGCTATAGCACACTGTGTCAGCTTATCAGTTATAACACGGTTTTTGTCAACCTCTTTATGAGAGACGGTTTGTCAACCTCCCAGTTATAACACGGTGTATCAACCTCCCAGTTATAACACGGTGTGTCAACCTCTCAGTTATAACACACGGTGTGTCAACCTCCTGTTGTAACACGTCATAAAGAGTCTCCCAGTTATAACTTGGTGTGTGAACATCCCAGTTATTGCACGGTGTGTGGACACCCCAGTTATAGTACCGTGTGTCAACATAACAGTTATAGCACGGTGTGTCAACCTCCCAGTTATAACACGGTGTGTCAACTTATCAGTTATAACACAGTGTGTCAACCTCCCAGTTATAACTTGGTGTGTCAACTTATCAGTTATAACACGGTGTGTCAACCTCCCAGTTATAACTCGGTGTGTGAACATCCCACTGGTGTGTCAACCTCCCAGTTATAAGACGGTGTGTCAACTTATCAGTTATAACACGGTATGTCAACCTCCTAGTTGTAACACGTTATAAAGAGTCTCCCAGTTATAACTTTGGTGTGTGAACATCCAAAATTTGGGAAAATTAGGTTTTGCTTTTTCACAAAATACATTCTAATAACTGCTTTCTTTCAGGAACTATAAAAATATGTAAGGTTTATTGATTAGTTACAGCTACAGGAAGACATTTACTTTGAAAAGCCCATCGGTTGTGTAAACAAACCTGTTGGGATTTTTTACTACAGTATACAGATATGGTCTCTATAGCGTGTCTAGGAACAAACATGTTTGAACAGACCCATAGAGAGACCCATAGAGAAAGATATTGCGGACACACACACCCACCCCCACCTCCCCAACCCCTTTGTTTCTCTCTCTCTCATGTCATGGCTCAGCTATCTAGTGTCATCTTGCGCTTGAGCAATACTTCCTTAGTTACCCAACACCGGGTTGTGTGTGTAAATATACGTCTTTTGCGCCACCAAACCAAGAAAAGGTAAGATATGATAATGCATCAATAAACAATCAGTTAGTGCGAGGAACATGTATTTTTCAGGTAGTCCGTTTAAGTTACCTCTTAAAGATGCACAATCTCCTATTCTTTCAACGAGTTATACACTGGCATGATCGCAGGCTCGTCATTTTACGCAGGATTCTGCCCTGTGTCATCAAAGTTTATTAAATGGCCATTGAAACTCTGATGAAAACAGGTGAAAAATAACACACACACTGCGCATTTCGCTCAACCGAAAGTTATCAGAAGCTGATCTCGCACATACCTGGCAGATATCTCACCATTCAACGTGTCTCGTTCAACGATCTCGAAAGTTAGACGAAGAATATATGATACGTGCACTTTTGTGTCTGTTATATTGCCTGGGACAGAAATGACCACTAGCCTGATAATCCGAGACATATATAGTAAAATGTAGTTATGTAGTTTGTCAGATCTTATTATGTGTGGAGGAGTACCACGACCATATGTCTTCTTTAATGCACTGATGACTGGGGTTTATTTTTCAAGGGCTCAACCTACAGAACACGTGACTGAACATTCGCTGAACATTGTCTCGGTATAGCATAATCACTTGAAATCTCACACCTGAGCTATATTTGCGCTTGCGCACTGCCCTCCTTAATTACCCAAGCACCCGGATGTGTGTATATACGTCTTTGGTCATTAAACCAAGTAAAAGGTAAGATATGCATTTTTCAGAAAGTCCGTTTAAGTTAGTGCTTGAAGATGAATACTCTCCTCTTTGTTTCAACGATTTGACAGCAGTCCAGAAGCCAGTCAAACTGTATAGTTTGCCACGTCACCAGCCACGGATGATTCAACAACTTAACAAATCACGTGTCTAGTGAATATTTCCATGTTTTGCTCCACTGTCGCGCATATCGCTCGACCTTAACATTATCAGAAGCTGATCACTCGCTTATACTTGGTTGATCTCTCACCTTTCCCCCGATTCGACTTGTATTGTTCATACATATTGAAAGTCGAAAATTATGTGCGAAATCTTTTCAAATGTCAACAGACATGATTGAAGAATAATACGATAAAATTTAAAATTTTGATAAATATACTGGGCATAACAAACAATTCAAATGAATAGAATTAAAGAATCTAGAATCTATAGTAAAATGTAGTTATTTTGTACAAGTCACTCTGGAAGTAGTCATGGACTATTGGATATGATCTGAGATATGTGCCCTTGATGTGGGACTAATTAGGAAAGAAAAATTAACCAATATCTGCAATCTTCACTTTGTTATTAAACTCCAATTGAACATGTTTTAAAGTTTAAGTTATATGTCCAGAGAGGTGATATTTGCACGGATAATAAAACTAAATCATCAACAGGCCAACACATCTGAAATTACGATCCGTTCTCCCAACTATGTCCAGGAGCACATTAATGTGGACAGCTACAACCAAAACACACATCTACCATATCATCTAACACATGCTGTTATAGTGTCTAATTCAGGACTGCCATCGTCCAAATATTACTAAAGACCAAAAACTATGTAGCCAAGCCATTTGAGACTTAATTATAATTATTTAATCTGCATTTTTAATCCTGATCACTACCGCATTATACATTGTACATTGTCTTGTCAGCCACCCTGTACCATGCTGTCACTTTCATTAATTACTGTATATGGCATTTTTGGCCTAATTGGTCATCCCCTTGGCCGTGCCTGCCACCACATCAATTGCTTCAAGGAAGTGCTATTGTTTCTCTCTCTGTCCATTGTTGAGTGTCGCCTATCCATTGTTGTCAAAAACTGTATATATGCTCACATCTATATTGTCAAGGAGTCCGGTATTCCGACTGTCTGTGTAGGATCGACCGCGAGCAGGATTATGCCGCTCGTAGGAAACGCCCTCGGGTTGAGCTGGAACTCCGCTCACCTCATTCATGTTTGTCATGTCTTGTGTGACCAACTAAAGAAGTTTGAACTCAACTATGCCTTCGTCTTCGTGTACGTACACTTCATCGTATAATTATGAGCTAATTCCCCAGTCGACGCACCATATGTACGCGTTGACAACTACCACAAGCATATCTACAGAAATATCACAGCATTGATAAAAATTCACTCTTTAGTATTCTAAAAATTGTAAAGTGTATATTAGATTAGATCGATGAATAACAATGGATCACTGTCCACGGATGATTAGCAATGCTTAGAATTTGATATTCTTGTTATGGGATGGTCTGTTCCCAAAAAGTGCTTGGAAGATGATCATTATCCCCATGTTTTCCAAAACCAAAGGGTGTTTTCTGTTGAAAGTCAATCCTTCCAGAAAACAAAAAAATCTAAGGCTTAATCTCTGAAAACATTACTTTGAAAGAAACACATAACCGTGTTTAAACTGAAAAGAAGCCCTAGTAAACTGGGAGATTCTGACCCTGAGGTAAATCAAGACTTGCTTTATATTGGGCTTTTGCATTATTAAGTGGGCTGAACGTAAGGCAAAATAATATGATTCAGGGATTATGAGACAGGCTACCGCCTTGTCAAGGTGCAGGGCGACTGATGTTGAGTGTTGTATCTGATAATGTTTTCCCCAATTAGGGATGCTGCTGGGATAGGTCTCCAGCATCCCGAGCTGGTTAATAAGGTTGATTTTGTTGATGGCGATGTACTGCTGGACGGTACAGCGATGGGAGTAGGCCAGGTGAAGTTATTCACCAGGTCTGCCCAGGGTCGGTCTTTTGTGGAGAGGCTTTCTGAGAAGCCATTGCATCGTGTGAACATGCAGTGCGTGGAACAGAATAGCAATCCCACCGATTCCCTCGCCTGGATGAAGTCGGCTGGTCTTAAATGTGAAACTGAGGGCTTACCTTTTTGCTGCTCAGGACCAGTCACTTCCCACTCGTAATCGCCTAAATGTGATTCTTAAGGAAAATAAAAACATGAAATGCCGACTATGTAATGAATTTACAGAGACTGTCCAACACCTTGTTAGTGGATGCCCTTCTTTGGCACAAAAAGCATATCTTAAGAGACATGATGGCATGGCTCGTTGCTTTTACTACCTTCATGCCATGCCTGTGGCTTTGACTCCGAGGTCCATCCATGGTATGACCCTGAACATGTCCAGGGCATCATTGAAAATGATGTTTTCAAACTTCTGTGGAATAGGTCCATATATATCCTCAGAAGAATTCCTGCCAACCAACCTGATCTTGGCCTCTTTGATAAAGCCAATGAATTCATTTATATCATGGAATTTTCTGTCCCTTTTGACAGCAATGTGATTGGCAAGATTCAGGAAAATCATGATATATATGCTGACCTCGCCTTTGAAATGTCTCGCTTGCATCCCAAGTACACTGTCGTCAGGCTCCCCATTGTTCTCGGTGCCCTTGGTTTGGTGCCTCCTGATCTCTTGGCGCAGATCAGGAGAGTGCACGGGTTCTCCACCGGGAGTACAGCCCTTCTGACACTCTGGGTAATGCAGAAGGCTGCAGTGTTGGGAAGCCTTCATATTCTCCGGAAGGTCCTTGGTGGGTTCGACTAGGCAGCGTTTCCTGGGAGAAGTCCCATTCGCTGTCTGGGCTGCGTGTAGAGGGGGCAAGGGCCCTGAGCTGATGATGAGCCTTACCAGTCTGACTGTACCAGGATCACCCGAACCCTCTCTGCTGCATACAATCTTTAATCTGTAAAACATAATAATAATAATCATAATAATAATGTGGGTATTTATATAGCGCTACATCCAGGTACTAATACCCGCTCATGGTAGTCGTAGAAAGACGGGACTTTATGGATCAGCTGGTCAGACAAGCTGACAGGTCCACTGTGGTATCGTACCCCGACAGTGTGGATCAGATGGTCAGATACACTGACATGGTCCACTGTGGTATCATACCCGGACAGTGTGGATCAGCTGGTCAGACATGCTGACATGTTCCACTGTGGTATCATACCCCGACAGGGTGGATCAGCTGGTCAGACACGCTGACATGGTCCACTGTGGTATCGTACCCCGACAGTGTGGATCAGCTGGTCAGACATGCTGACATGGTCCACTGTGATATCGTACCCCGACAGTGTGGATCATTGCTGACATGGTCCACTGTGGTATCATACCCGGACAGTGTGGATCAGCTGGTCAGAGACGCTGACATGGTTCACTGTGGTATCATACCCCTGACAGTGTGGATCAGCTGGTCAAATATACTGACATGGTTCACTGTGGTATCGTACCCCGACAGTGTGGATCATTGCTGACATGTTCCACTGTGGTATCGTACCCCGACAGGGTGGATCAGGTGGTCAGACACGCTGACATGGTCCACTGTGGTATCGTACCCCGACAGTGTGGATCAGCTGGTCAGACATGCTGACATGGTCCACTGTGATATCGTACCCCGACAGGGTGGATCAGCTGGTCAGACACGCTGACATGTTCCACTGTGGTATCGTACCCCGACAGTGTGGATCATTGCTGACATGATCCACTATGGTTTCGTACATGGACAGTGTGGATCAGCTGATCAGATACGCTGACATGGTCCACTGTGGTATCGTACCGGACATTGTAGATCAGCAGGTCAGACGCTGACATGGTCTAAAGTGGTATTGCAACCCCTACAGTGTGGATCATTGCTGACATGGTCCACTGTGGTATCATACCTCGACAGGAGGGATCAGCTGGTCAGATACACTGACATGGTCCACTGTGGTATCGTACCCTGACAGTGTGGATCATTGCTGACATGATCCACTGTGGTTTCGTACATGGACAGTGTGGATCAGCTGGTCAGATACACTGACATGCTCCCCTGTGGTATCGTACCGCGACAGGAGGGATCAGCTGGTCAGACACGCTGACATGGTCCACTGTGGTATCGTTCCCCGACAGGAGGGATCAGCTGGTCAGAGACGCTGACATGGTCCACTGTGGTATCGTAGCCCGACAGTGTGTATCATTGCTGATTGGTCCACTGTGGTATCGTACCCGGACAGTGTGGATCATTGCTGACATGGTCCACTGTGGCATCATATCCCGACAGTGTGGATTATTGCTCACAATATCAGTCACTGGTTTGCCTTACCCAAGACGTCCTATTTACTGGCCACGAAACAACGTGTCAGCATTGCAATAAAAAGATTTTTATTTTGTCACAACTTAATTAGTTCATCGATACCATGAACAGTATCAGATGTAACATGTCTTTTTAGAAAAATGAAGGCTATCATTTTTCGAAAAAGAGTGACAATAAAACAAATGATTTGAACAAAGTCATCTGATATCAAGTCAGGATGTCGTCCACAACTCAGAAACAACAGAACTTTGTGTCAGAGCCAATGGGAGATAAGCCTGTAACTGTTCTACCAGGAATAGGACCGGTTCTTGTTGAAAGACTCAACGGGGCGGGGTTTGATAAGGTGATATTACACTTTACGATGTCTTACAATTCAGAAGACGGAAGAACCAGACATAACTGTCATTGATGGAAAGAATTTCAGTCTACTGACAAAAAAGGTGTCAGATATTCTAATAAATTGATTACTCATCAAAAATATTGGTCTGTATCTGTAGAGATAAAGGCAAGAGTTATTGTGACACTCAAACAACAAACATAATCAGCATTAAACTTTTACTGCTGCAAATGAAATATCTTATGACATAACAAGACAAGTGTGTCAAGTTATGGTAACATTCAGTTTGTAAGGACAGTGTTCCTTGCACAACACAAAAAAGGGTTCACAAGCAAGGTCACGTGTACCAATATTGCCAGGCATTGTACAGACTGTTGGAGGTGCATGGTTTGAATCCACTGGTCTTAATGTGGGGCTGTTATTGTGGCTGACCACTATATAGCTACAAGGACGGTCCATAACTTGATTGTTTTGCTGAAAACATCACCATAAGTGCCAAATAGTGTTTCCATGGACGTTGACCTAACGAGCAAGATCATGCTGCGAGGTCCCAAATGAAGCATACCTGTAGTCATATTCCCCAAGGCGTGACATGTTGACATGTTCCAGAATGATGAATAAAGGTGTGTTTTTTCTGACTAATGCACTTCTTAAGACTTAAGAGTAGAATTCTAATTGTCTGCCATTGTAAGTGAATATTGCAGGCCATTTCTTTTTCAAATATGTCATGCTTGTTACAGATTTCGTGCGATTTGAACAACTGCTTGATTTCGTTACATTGACCATTTTAACACTCTCTTTCTCTGGTTCAGATACAAAATTTCATTTATCAACAAACCATGTCAGAATAACATTTGACACTGCGCATCTTTATCTATGTATGTTACCTATGTAGAGCTACAGGTACAGTTAATACATTTTATTCTTGGTATGAACTAGGTTGTAAGTTCTCTCTTTCAGTATCCAGGCCAGTCGAAGACATCTTAATCATGTTCAACATTTCTGTGAATTAGTTATGTAGTATCAATAAGTGAGTTAGGATAAGTAAAACATGATATTTCTACTCATGTAGGTATGCATGCTAAACTGCGGCATGCTCTCTCTCAGTTGGTAGCACTAAAAACTGATAATCTGTTACTTGACAGCAACATTACACTCCTTTTCACCTCTCACCTCCAACAATTTATTGTTTGTTGTTCTTCCAGGCGAAAGATGTTCTGGGCAAGTACCTGGTGATGAAGGAAGATAAGGAGAGTTTCAAGGGCTGGGTGAAGGACACATGTGATGCTAATTCCAAATAGGCGGAGGACTGCGCCAATTGTCTGAAAGACTGGTCTAATGATCACGTGTGAGGTGCCTGCCCTGTCAAACTATGCTTCTGTCCACAACACAAAAATCTTTTGTTTGAACATGTATTGGTGGTGGTGCTTGGCCTGGACGGAAGTTGCAGGAAAGGATTATTTTAAGTTGTTAATGTGCTTGTCATGAATAACATTCATTTTCAATGTGCAGCCTATGTAGCCGTCTTGTTTGTTATGCTTTGGTCGGGTTAAAAACACCATACGACAGACATTCATCAAAACAGTTTGGACCCAGAACTATATTAAATAGTAGTTTATAGAATTTATGGTATTCAAGGGACGATTAGACATTTCACCTGTAATCTTTTATGGAAGAGCCCTAATTCTTTAACATTTTACATTAATGATAACCTACCTTTTGCTCTCAGAATACCGGCCCGTGAAGATCCGGGATAGAATAGGTCTTCAGCAACCCATGTGCTTGCCATAAAAAAGCGACTATGCTTGTCGTAAGAGGCGACTAACGGGATCGGGTGGTCAGTTTCGCTGACTTGGTTGACACATGTCATCGGTTCCCAATTGCGCAGATCGATGCTCATGCTGTTGATCACTGGATTGTCTGGTCCAGACTCGATTATTTACAGACCGCCGCCATATAGCTGGGATATTGCGGAGTGCGGCGTAAAACTAAACTCACTCACTCACTCTCAGAATACCATCTGGCACAGGTGACATATGATTGTTTGTTTGACATAGTTTTGAAAGGTTGTACATGAGCAGTGATTAATCCCAAGGCAAGAAGCTAGAGAAAAGCTTTCCAAGGAAAAATGTAAGCTGTAGTGTTGCTGAAGTGCAATAATTGTTTCTGTTTCGATATTAAATAAAGCAAACTGATCTGACAGGTAAGGAAAAGGGTTAGTTTTAACACTAAGCTCAGTAGGCCATTCCCAGAAGATACATTGTTGTACTGTGCTGACACAGGGATTCAATCGTTCATCTCTGTACACACCGATACACGAAGGAAATTGCGGTTATTGAGACATTACACATGTACAGTAAGTCAAATGTGAGTTTTCCATTTTACATTGTGGCAATGTTCAATAAATTCTTATTATAATAACTGTTGTTTTCATTGTAATTTGATTACATGGAAAAAGAGGCTAACATTCAAATGCGTCTTTTGTGGTTGTATAACATCAACATCTGTTAAATGTTCTGAAGCTAATACCTATTGTCCTCTGGAATATTCTGGTTAGGGTCTAAGAAGATCCAGGTTAGTGTCTTCAGCAGCCCATGCTTGTCATGAGGCGACTGGTGGGATCATGTGGTCAGGTTCACTGACTTTGTTCAGCCATTCGTCAAGTGTTGATTATTTACAGACTTCCGTCAAAAACCTGTAATATTTATGCAATTTCGGCCAAAAACAAACAAAAACTATGTGTGTTTAGTGTTTCAATGACAATTTTGGTGGATAACATGTTGTATTTACTAGGAGAAAAAACTTATTATCCACTAAAAAAGAATCAATTTTGATTGTTTTCCAAATTGCCTTTCAAAGACTTCGATGTGGCTAAGAAAAAGCAGGGCATGTGTTGCCATGTAGAGTTGTGCCCCCTTTATGACCAGGATGTAAGGGTGTTTGCCCGCTCAGACTGTCACACTGCACATTGAAAGAGAAAGCAACTGATAAGTCGAACATACACTGGGATCCAGGGAATCGCTGGTCCTGGGGTTGAAATCAAGATTTGCTCTGGTTATGAGCCCTGGTCTGTCAGGATCATACACATACGCTGGGGTTCCAGGTGGTCTGCAACTTGTCTCACTATGATATGGCATGATGTGAATGATCTTCAATTTTCAATTTAAAGGATATATATCAATGATTAGTTGTTATGTTTTTATACACACTGTAGGGGCACACTTGGCCTAGTTGTCTGAGCTGTGGCAAGCTGTTTATAGAGTTGCCTCCCTTGGCCACACCAAACGCCAATGAGTTGTTTCGAATCCAGTTTGACCTGATTTGTGTGTTGATTTGTCAGCACTTTAAAAGCAGCAGCTGGTGTGACAACGAGTGTCGTGCTGTACGTGCAGCAGCGAGACGATCACTTCGTGAATTCCGTAACTCTAACAGTGAAATCAGCAGACATAACTATTGTGAATCATTGAAGTCCTATATAAAGAAGTGACCGCCTCCGTGGTGTAGCCGGGAAGTCAATGTAAAACTAATCACTTAGATATGCAATTCACGGAGAATGAACAAAGCTTTTGTAAATTTTAAATCCCTGAAATATAGTAATGTTGAATGTGACGCTATGAACGCTTTATTTACAAAACTGAAGAGAAACAGTAGCACGACATGTTGACAACAAATCCTATTCGGTCGAACGAGGGACCACATTGTGTAGAAACTGCAAGCCTGACACTGAGAAGTATGGACAAATGTTTGAAGTTTACTACAATAGGGGTTGATGCGCTACATCCTGATATCAGGTTTTCAAGATTAGACTCATAGTGACGAAAAACATTATGTACCAAAGCCTCCCCTCGCCGCCATCTTTGACGATTTGTATGCCGTTTCGGGATGCTATGACTGCCGTGTTGGGATGCTGTGATTGCCGTTTTGTACGCTCGGCGACCGTTCTCGCGCGCTCTTGTAGCTGATACACGAGTTTTGTTTCCATTTCAAACGATTTGTCTTCCATTACAGATGTATTGTTTCGGTTTTAGAGGATATTGTTGCAGTTTTGGAGGTTTATTTTCCAATTTTGGTGATTTTTTTTCTGTTTTGGTGTATATGAGTTCGGTTTTGATGATTTGTTCACCGTTTGTATGGTAGGCCTGAGGTTAGAGCGTCCGCCTGAAGAGCGCAAGGTCGCGGGTTCAGTCCCCGGCCGCGTTATACCAAAAGACTTGTTGGTCCCTGTCTAGTCTGTAATACAGACCCTTAAGCAAATATATCCAAGAAAGCCCACGCAAGTCTAGAATATGTGGCAAGTCTAGATTTCCACAGCTTCAGAAAATGAAAACAAGTCTCTTTTTCATTATATATTATTTTTACCTGTTGCTTTTTCAGTGAAATATGTTCATTGCAGAGACTAGTTGTTAGTCTAGTCTAGTCATGGACTGGTCGGGGTCTGAGGCAATATAATGTGTCTGAGAGGGGTATTCATGCTAAACTGCGGCATGGTATCTCAGTGAGCTACCACTATAAAAACAGCTTAAGTCTGGGCTAGTACAAGCAGCCACATACACGCATGCACGTCGTCTTATGAGCGAAATATTCTTATGTACGACGCTAAACCCTATTTCACCCCACCTCACCTATAAAGAACTGAGCAAACAGAATTCAGTGAATGTGTTCAAACATGTTGTACAAACTTTAAACAGTGCCTTAATATCCAAAGACAGGGGAATGGTTTTGGTCATATTTCAAATCTTTTAATTTTCAACGTGATAATATACTACTCACACTTTCCTAAGGATTACAAAAATCACAACTTTACTTAAACGTAGGTTTATAATTTGAAATTGTATCCACTTGAAACTGGATAAATAATAATGTGGTTCCCAATTGCGCAGATAGATGCCCATGGTGTTGATCACTGGATTGTCTGGTCCAGGCTCGATTATTTACAGACCGCCGCCATATAGCTGGAATATTGCTGAGTGCGGCGTAAAACTAAACTCACTCACTCACTATCATCCTGTTAGGAAGTGAGACCATGGGAGACCACTCTTCATATTAATGTTGTCCTGTAGCCTCACCAAACCACGTGAAGCGCCATACAATCTCCTTCATCGCGGCTGTCGTTGGGACTGACGTCTTGTAGCGTCCGCAGATCAAAGGAACACTGGTATTAGAAAGTGCACGAAGTGATATCACAGTTAGGTATTCACCTAGACCTGCTGAGTCGAAATTCGGTCCACGTCTGCAGCAAACGATAGTAAGTAGTCAATGTGAATTAATAAATGTCCAATCCCTCAAAGTTGACGAAGAACCACCACATAAAATCCAGGTTTTAACATTTTTATTCACACAAATTTTATTCTTCTCAGTTTGCCTGCCATCATATTCGCTGGATCCCAATTCAACTGTAAACATATGTAGATTATATTCCTCTGTGCTGTGCGAGAATATGCAAAATATACACCCAGCGATGAAAAGATTATTTAAATTGAGACTTAATATTTCTACGAAAATATTACCCAGACCATATATCCTGTCTTTTTTAAGCATCAGCTAAACTTTTACAAGAATTATAGAAGTACATTTTGGGAAAAATTTGTAACTGTTTTCAAACATTGTGTTCGAGAGTCCGCAGATCAAAGGAACAATGGTATTAGAAAGTGCACGATGTGATATAACTGTTAGGTATTCACCTGGACCTGCTCAGAGGCAGAAGTTCGGTCCACGTCTGCAGCAAATGAAGACATTGAAGTAGTCAATATGAATAAAATAATAAAAATTCCTTACTTACTGCCGAACAATTATCGCCAATACATCGGATATGGCGTGCGCAGTTCCGGTCATTTAAAATTCCGATATTTTTTTGGACAACAATGAAGGACAGAAAACAAAAATGATTCACGGTAAGTAACAGAAAAGGAAAAATGAAAGATATGTTATGAACCCAATGAATTGTTTTTAACTTAGACGTCGGGAGAATGTCCCACGATCCATATAAGAGCAAGTTCAGGTTCACAGTCATTAATTGTTTCATGCCCTACCAGTCTACTGTAAAACAAACACTCAACTAGTCACACTATCAATTATTCGAGGTTACTTTATGATATATATATAATTAATTCATGAATGACATCAGAAATTCTGAAATGGCCATAACTGTCACAGTTAGTTGTGAGAAAAGACTTTTTTCTACTGCCATGATTCCCTTCTGCAACGTTATATAAAAACACGATCGGCGGCAGTGAACGGGCTGACCACATTGGTTAATAGCTAATTAGGGCTCCTTGCCACAAGGCAGGAGACCTATTGGAATCGTTAATGTTTTTATTATTTATTATTCCGCCGTATTTTGTACCAGCCCTACAAAAAGCACCGCAGGACAGAATCGCTTG